CTCTGGAGATTCATTCACCTTAAACAAACCTCTAGCAATGTTCCCAAAGGTGTGGCTTTGCTGCTTCCAACGAATCACAAAATTTTACAGAAAACTATAATTGAATCATATTGGCTGTTTTCTCCGCCTCCACCCCTACCCGCATGGTCCTTCCGACATAAATGGTAGTTCTTCAGCGAAACCACCTCGTCAGAGACGAGGTTTGTTAAGTGCGTTTCTTGGAGAACTATAATATCGAGAGCATAGGACGAAGCCAATAATTTAAGGTCATTTAGTCTATCTCTAAGATTTCGACAGTTCCATTGTATAATTCTCCCTCGCTTTCCGGGGACCACCCTCGGGATGGTATGGAGAGGACCTCGCCTGGTTGGGGAATTGCGATCTGGACTGTGATTCGGTATCAGCCTCCTTAAGATGTTTATGTTAGGTTGATGCAGGCCTTTAATCGACCAATTTAGTCAACTGATATACTTTAATGTTTAATTCTTCAACAGTTTGTTTCAGTTCAGCAATTTTTTTATCTTTAGCCACAAGCTTTTGACTGACATTATTTGCACTAGGGATGATGTTAGTTTCTGCTGCAGCATAGGAAGTATCGGGTTTGTGTGTCAAACTTTCCACTTTCCTTTTAGCTTCAGTATAACTAACTTCATGTTTTCTCATATATGTCTGTCTCCTTCAGGCTGCTGCACTCAGCAGAGCCTGAATGCATTGGCTTTTGGATGTAAGGTCTTACTTGGACTTATTCGGGGATTTTATTTAAAGCAAAGGTAAAAAACGCAGTTCAGTTTTCGTTCGCACTACCCGTCTTTCTTGGTCATACAATGAACGTCCACTACGTCTTGGTCCTTCATGCTCTCGAGAATTTCCCTTTCTTCCATCGTTCTCAAATCCCAGTGAAAGATTACTCCCATACAGGTATTTGGGCCAATAGGAATAGTTACTTTAACTCTGAGATCATGAATTTGCGTCAGCTTTAACAAGGAAGCTTTCATCTCGCATTTTTTTTTGACAAAATAGAAATAGCTTGACCACTAAGGACCTTTTTGATGATAAAGGGGTTCACGTTCAAAAGCAATGGATTTTCATTCAAGCATTTAACATTCGCAAACCTTGCATTTTCGGTAGGGATTTTGAAAAGAGGTCTTCTGGGTTTGTCATTAGTAGGGGTTCCATTGTTCAGAGTCGAATTGGTCGTAGAGTGGTCATAGGTCGCACCTCTTCCTTGAGGAGGAGAAGGGGTAGCCGGGGTAGCATTCATCCTGGGTCTCAGACCAGGTCTGACCCCTTTGCCCGAAGCAGCAGTCCTGAAGAGATCATAACTCTTAACTTTTGGTATCAACCGAACAACAATAGCTAAGAGAATAAGGCAGTTGTCCGTCCTCTACCCCCTAGTGAAGCTTGGTTACATTCCCCAGTACCAAAGGGGGATCGAGTTATGTGGACACCTCCTTACCGCCGAACTTGCCTAGGCGAAGGACGGTTATTCGATGTCCACCCTCCAAATAAATACGGGAGCCTACAAGGGAACTCCGTTAGGCTCAGGAAAGTCACATGAAGAGAGGAAAATAATTCAGAATTAAAGAAAGTGCGCCCAAAGGACACCGCAGACTACTGGACCTCCCTACCCAGGGTTCAAAGCCCGCAAGGGATACCCTAGTGTAGTAGAGAGCTACAGGTCTGAGGAGGGTGCTGACCACATCTACTGTAGTCTCGTGTCAGCTGCAAAATCAAGAGCACTGATGGTGCAGGCAAAGCACTAGAAAGGGCAAAAGGATCTAGAAATAAAGATTTTACTCTGCAGGAGTTTACTTTCGAAATTCAGAAGCAACAATGAGGCCCCAGGTTCCAGGATAGTTCTTGTGGCACAAGACTTTTTAGTTTGTTGCTGCTGCGTTTAAAGACAAGGTGTGAACTTTCCAAATCTCAAAACACGAGTGACGACTGAAGCTTCATTTGAGGAACGCATAAGTACCCACAGTATTCAAGTTATGATTGGTCAGAGAAATATGACATCTTGTGCTGCAAATTTTGATTTTTTTTGTAACTGCCAGTACGACATATTGGTTATAAATGGCTGTTAAGCAACAGTTAACGTTGTTGGCGTTTCAAACATGGAAGATAATTGAGCCATTTTTGTTAACTTATATACGATATACCAAGGACTATAGTAGTACTTAACTAGACCTTACGATATGTATTACATTTCCTGCTTCCTGCGATCATTAACTACCGGTATTTTAGGCAGATGCGTATTATTTAGTATATATACATATTAACATTATTCAGAGTAAAGATTTAGATTTAGATTAGTATATAGATTAAATACTGTAAATATATAACACATGTTTCGCTCGTCTCAGTGCTGCCCGTCTTGTTGAGCGCGTCTGGGGCAGGCCTGTCTCCTGTTTTCTCCCAGCTCGTGGCGGAAACAGCTTGGCAGCTTCGGTAAAAAAAATATGTAGGGCAACTTCTTTATATTCTTTATATATATATATAA